GATAATCTTTCATAATAAAATAAGATATCCCTTCATAACAAATTACTAATCTCTACTCTTAATGAAGCAGTTGGTAGCCTGGTACGGTTTATTTTCGTCTGGTTTTACTTCGTCCCACCACCCCCACTAGTTTTTTCTCCCTCGCATTAAAAAACCAAATCTCATTAAGGGGAGATCTTGTTTCGTTCTTCCTTTGGTAGGTGCCGATTCAATTCAATCATGTAAATAATAAGTAATTAAGAATTCCGAAATTGCACCATATATGTGAGATCACCTTCCTAAAAGACAGACATAAAAATTTTCTTGATATCTTCCATAATAAAATAAGATATTCCTTCACAACAAATCACTAATCCCGCACGCTATGCTTGACAATCACAAGCTTCATATGAGTGTACGCATCCGCGTGCCCCTGCGGAGGGACGTCATGCACGAAACCGTGGAAGATGTCGTGGCTGGGCCTAACGCCGGCGCAATGCTCGAGAATGCCAGGGTGTGTATCACGGCATTGAAGACGACCGTGGCGGGGGGCAGGTCGTCAGACTGCCACATGGACGAGTGATGTAGGGTAGGAACCCTATAGGCCGATCTTTCACGAAAGGAGCGGATCCCTCGAAGAACACGAAGAACACAAAGGGGGAAGAGAGGGAAAGCACAAGGGAAACACAAGAGAATCACTAAACCAACACAAGAAAGTCACACATGTGCTAGATCGTCGGATACATAGAACGATACACGATGCACGATCAACTAGGGACGATACATAGGTAGCCGGTCTTCTCCATGAGGAGGTCTTGATGTTCTTCTCCGCGAGGAGGTCTTGAATCCAAAGGGATCTTCTCCGAAGAGGCCGCGGTCTCTCTCAAGGAGTAGATCTGATGTGGATGAGCGTATCTCTATCTCTAAACATGAGCTAAACCAACGCTAACCCTAGAAAGTTGGACGGGGTGGAGTATATATAGTCTTAGTGCAAAAGAGGAGGGCGAAGGGGTACATGGGCTGCGGCCCAACACGAAACAGCACACAGGCGTCGGATGTCCGGGAGTCACCTGTCGTCCGGCGGCTCGCGAGGGTCCGGACGCCCGGTTCCTGTCGGACGTCCGTAGATTCGGCTCGGGTAGTCTTCGGTCGGACGTCCGGTCAGTGTCGGACATCCGGGCGTCGGTCGTCCGTGGGGCGTCGGATGTCCGTCTGTTTTGGCTCAGGTGTGGAAGTGCCGGTCGTCCGGAGCCTGGAGAGGGCCGGTCGCCCGGAGCCTAGAGATCATCGGACGTCCGGTGCTCGTCGGTCGTCCGGAGCCTGGGAACTTTGAGCTGTTCTTCTTCTTCGTCTTCACGTCCATCTTCCTCTTCTTCTTCCCCTTGCTCCTTAGCTTCTCCATGATACCTGAGTATGCACAAGGTGTCCATATGAGGTAGTAGCCATGCCTCATGTGCATCGAAGTGGAAATGTGAAAGGAGTGATGTCACCTCGGTTTCGAGAGCTCTTTCACGTGCTCGTGTCATGGGTCCGCTAGGCACTTGGTGAGGCGATGGTAGGTCCATGGGGATGACCTTGGGATGCTCCGCATCATCTCCCCTCCCTTGGGGAAGATCCTTCCTCGGATCAAATTCTTCATCACCATGGTAGGGAGAAAGATCTTTGACGTTGAAGGTGTCGCTCACGGAGTACTTGTCGCGAGGAATGTCGATCTTGTATGCGTTGTTGTTGTAGCGTGCAAACACCTTGAAGGGTCCATCCGCTCGTGGTCGAAGTTTGGACTTGCGTTCTTGTGGAAAGCGATCCTTGCGAAGGTGTAGCCACACGAGGTCTCCGGTGTTGAATACCATAGGTTGCTTGTTGAAATTGAGCTTGGTCGCAAGGCGTTGAACTTGGCGCTCGATGGTGTTTCCTGTATCTTCATGCACCTTCTTGAGATGTGTTGCTCGTGCACTTGCGTCCAAATTGATGCACTCTTGGAGTGGTAGAGGAAGAATGTCCAATGGTGACAATGGATTGAAACCGTAGACGACCTCGAAGGGGGACTTGTCGATCGTTGAATGTCTTGCTCGGTTGTAGGCGAACTCGGCGACAGGTAGGCGCTCCTCCCACTCCTTGATGTTCTTCTTGATGAGTA